TAAAATCAGCTCCATGAGTAACTAATAATTGTGTTGTAAATAAATTGCCACGAATAACAGCCATTTGTAATGCTGTTGTACCAGTTGATTTATCTTCACATTCAACATTTGCACCATGATTTAAAAGAAGTTCAATTATTTCTTTATTACAATCATGCATTACTAAATAAATTCTTTCTAAAAAATTAATTTATCAATATTAGAGAACATATTTTTGTACCTGCTCGATATAATGGTGTCCATTTATGTATTCCAACTTCTTTATTCATTTCAATATCTTTATCAATATTTAAGTTTCTTACTATAATAGCAATTGTTTCAAAATTTTTACTATCAATTGCATGATGTAATACAGAAGTACCTAAATAAAATAATTCAAAATATTAGTTTTGTTTTGTTTTTTTTTTATTTATTACCATTGTGATCAATACTATTAACATTGGCGCCATTTCCAATAAGCGATGCACATGCTTTATGAAAACCTGTACTAGCTGCAACCATAAGTCTAAATTTGATTTATAAAAATTAATCAAAAGACAACGAAATAAAACTTGACATACGGTGTTTTGCCCGAACCAATACTACTATTAACATTTGCTCCTGCCTTAATCAATAATTCAACTTTTCTATAATGAAAACAAAAAAAAAAAAAAAAATTTTTAATTTACGATCACAAGAAAAAGAAATCTTTCGTAATATATATACCCAACATCAAATTTAGTACATGCATGCATTAAAGGTAAATTTCCATCTTTATCTGGACGTTCTAATAAAGGATGATCAGGACCTCTAGAATAAATAAGTTCGAATAATTTTTTTTTGCTTTCAAAATAATGAATAATAAAAAACATACAAAATTCGAAGTAATTTTTCTAATTGTTCTTTTCCAGGTACAACAATGGCTTTAAAAACTGTTTCAGCAGTCATAGGTTCTGGTGTTGTTGCTGCTTGTAATATTGATGACCAATCGGAACGTTCACCACCGTTATAATTAGATTTCAATTGTATTCGAAATTCATATTGAGTATTTGCTTTAAGATTTTCAACTATATATGACATTGCTGATCCTCTAATTATGTTAAAAATGAAAATAAACAAAAATCAAAACAAAAACACATTCTATCTGACATACGTATATTTACTTTCCCAAAGAGAACTAACTTTTTTTTCACGTCCATGTAAATAAATTAAAGAGCCTGGTCGTGCTGCACCTGATTCATCAAATAATCTTCTATGTTCTGATCGTTTTTGATCTTGAATAAGTACATCCTCCCATTGAAGTTCAATTGAATGATGATTTGCATTTACAACTATTGGTGCCAATGGTTTTTCTAAACGTCCATCTAAAGAAAGTTAAAGGTTTCAAAGATAACAAAAAAAAAACAAAACTCGTATCCTTACTCATATTGTTATGCTTGGGTTTGATGTAAATTATTATGGTTAAGAGAAAAAGAAAGAATGTGCTTGTTCTTTTTTTTTTTCTAAATATCTTTAGATACGTTGTTTGATGTCGTCATTATTATAGTACGTCATTAAATAGAAGAAAAAAAAGTTAATGTTAAAGTGAATTGAATATTAAGAAAAAAAAAAAAAAAAACGAGACGAAAGAATAAACGCGCTCGGTCTTTTATTTTCTTCAGTTGAAATCAATTTCTTGCCTTAGTTCCGCTATTATAAATGACAGTTATTCGTTCGGAAATTTGTTTCGAAGAACATTATATATATATATGTGAACTATCGATGAGTACCTGGTGTGCACTCGTTCGTTATTTTTTTCTTTTTTTTGTGATTGAGAAAGAGAAAGCCATAAACAACTTAATTTATTCAAAACAAAATGTTTCAATCGTTTTCTTGCCCACGTTATTGTGGATTGCATGACAACATACTTATATGAAATTGTTTTATATTATTGTATACAAGAAAAATTTACCTGAATGGCTTTATTTCTTTTAATTACGTTTCAAAATTTTTTTTGAAAAGATTATATATGTTTAGTATATTTGATTTTTAATGAATTAGAGAGCAGTTCAATGGAAAAATTTAATGAATGAAAGACTATTTTTTTTGTTGAAATAAGACTATTTTTCGATTCGATCAATATACACATATATGCTTCGTTTTATACGATTGTTAATAAGGGCAGCGCGAAATTGTCGATCATAATTATTTTCACAATATTCGACTAATTGTCATTTTGATACCATCACGTGCCATGGAGATCTGACTTTAACAACTTTAGCATTAGATGACTGTAGTGTAAGAGTAAAAAGTTTATCTTATACAATTTCCGATTCGTCAATTAATGAGGATAGCCTTAAGCAGATTTATTTTTGTATGAAAGTTGTTTACACCCATTTGAATTTAACTCATTTTTTTTTTATTATTCGATCCGCTTATTCTTGATTGCACACATTTTCTCTCAATTGGAAGCAAATAACAATGTTTGCAAAGGAGAATCAAAATGGGGGTGAGAACAAAAGTGGCCGCATTACGGAAACAAAACAGAATAGATGCTGTAAGATGATTATCGTAGGTGGTTCTATATAGGAGATATTAATAGAACATGTGATGGAATATATTCAAATTGAGGACATTTTTGGCTAATTAAGGAATAATGTTTGCAAAGCGGAATCAGAGGTAGGAGAAGAGAGAAAAAAGTGGTTGCACATTTAAAAGCATCCGTGAAGTGAAATATGCGACGGGAAACGGAAGACAAGAAGGTCACAAAGTATAATCAAGAAAAAATTATTATACGCAAAAAAAAAATATTTATGAAACATATCAAAGCAACTAATATATTTTCAATTCAGGGTGTAGGTATACCTGAAGAGAAGATCTACACATTTTACCGACATCTCAAAAACTCTTTGATACATGTTATATACATTTAGCTTATATAAAAGAAGTAAAATAAAACAAAAGAATCGTTGTTTTACAGTGATTGTTATATAAACTGTCGGAAATAAAAAAATTAAAGCAGAATTTTTTATATAGTTCAATAGAGTGTGACAAATTGATCAAGATGATATGTGTTGTCAGAAATAGGTTTTTAGGTAAAAAGTTCAACTTTCTCCCAATGACTTAATTTTTCTGAAAAAGATGAATACAAGAATGTTGAAACAAAATTTTCAAGCCTCTTTTCTCATCCAATCTAAATTCTTATTTTTGTCTTTATTAATGGTTGTGGATATTCACATATATCTCAGTAGTTCAAGGTTTCTAATGTCGAATATACTATCATTAATTGCGTTTTATATACTTTCTAAGGATTTTACAAGGTTTTTTTCTGAAAAATTCATGATCCAAAGAAGCTTTTGAAAGTTACAGTCGTCAAAATCTTTTTAGACCCAGCATAAATTTGTAATATGAAGAATATTTCCCACATACATCGGCAAATATGCGTTAGTAATCGTTGAACATTCAGTCAATCAAGGTTTCTCATAGGGAAGGAAATGTTGGTTCTTAAGGTTATAATTGATTTTACATTATTCGCTAAATAGGTTTTTTGCAATTTTTTACTGTCTTTACTGAACAGATTTTTCAGACTTTGGACATGCTACAGAGCTCAGATTGGTTTTAAACTGAAGAGCAAATCATGCTGTGCAATTTAACAGTCGAAGTTTTTCTGTAAAATTACTCCTATTTTTTGAACGTTTTTAGGAAAAAATTTCAACAGAAATAATACATCAAACTTTTCAAAAAATCAGATCTTCTTAAGTATTAACCGTCGGTTTTAGCTAGATTTTAAAATGAAATCAAAATCGATATCATTCGAGTTGGAGGAGAAAGTCCTTGAAACATGAAAACCGACTTTTGGATGATTGATATGATAATAAATATTGAACACTCAGACAGAAGACTATTTTAATGCATTAAAATGTGGCATTTTTACACTGAAAAAACGTTATTTGAAAAAAAAATGCAAGTTTATGGGAACTGTCGTTGTTTTACTGCCAACTAATCATACATAGACACACAGTTTCTGGAAGTTTAGGTCAAATCTTTTGCTCCGTGACAAAACTAGATTTCAGAGTCGATAAAGGGTAGCTGAAGCCATTAAATACCAACTATTTGTAAAGATTTTTTGGTTATCCAACTTTTGGTCACAAAATATTTGTTTCATGAACAAAACGCTACACTATGTTTTCTGACTGAAAAAAGTACTAGTCATTATTTCATGCTATTATTTATTCATTTTGTTTTTAGTAGTCACTATTGTAGAAGAATAACAAAATAATAACTATACACTATATACAAATATTAATCGGATTAAGTTTTTCTCGTATCTGTTGACCAAACGTTTCGATAAGTTGTTTTTTCACTTATTAAGCTTATCAATAGTAGAATTAGCTAGTTTTATTTTTTGAAGTGGCTGTTTACAAGAAATAAAAAACTGCCAGCGCAATTTCTACTCGATTCAAATATGAAACACGCTGTAGTTGTTGTTGTTGATAATTATAGGAAGGCTAATTTATTCTATACATTTGGGAACATATTTCTTTACCATTCTCTTTTGTTTCATCTTCGAGAAATGCAATAATGAAGTACCTCATGTATTATAACGAGATATTACTGATATATAAACGTTCTTTGATTGTATATCAACACTGTCTATGATAATCTGTGATGGATAGCTAAGATGTCTGTCATAGTTCATAGAGAGGAAGAGGGGCAATATTTCTACCTCTATAGTTCACCACTCATTTCTAATATATACTATCAAGAAGTAATGCAACATTTTGTTCATGCGATAAAAAGTCATAGAACCAAAAGTTTACGAAATATGATTTAGACGAATTATTGCAGTATAGGCTGAAAGATTTGTCTTCTTTCACAGATTCATACATTCATAACCATGAAATATAAATGTCTTATGCCCTACGTCTTTCTTATCAATAGAAAAATGTATTTAGAAATCAATTGATTTATTATGAAATGAAATCGACCAAAAACAAAAAGACAATCACATGTAAATAATGAATAGATAAATTTTCTTTTTATTATAGTTCTAAACGAAAATCATATTTTGATCTGATAATTTGTCGTAAACTTTGTTTGATATTATCAGATAAATTACAATTCTGCATCCAAAGTTCTCTTAATGAATGATTTCGTTTGAGCATGTAATTAAGAGATTCAAAACTTGAATTACTTATTGATTTATTTTTAGAAAGATGTAAAACTTGAAGAGTTTGATTACCATGAGTGAGTACATCAGTTAATAATCGAACACCTTGATCAGTAATTTCATTAAAAACAAGTCCTAATACAATCAATGATTGATTTTTTTTGAGCATTTGAGCAAGATATTGTATACCATTGTCTGTAATATTATTAGAACCAATACCAAGTATTTTTAAATTAGAATTATTTGTTGATAAAACTTTAGATAAATGACGCACTCCTAAATCAGATAAATTATTGTGATAGAGCATTAATGCTTCTAATGTTATATTATTATTCAGACTATTAGCAATTGTTATTGCACCTTGTGATGTTATTATATTATTTTCTAATGAAAGTTTTTTACATTGTTTATTGATGATTGCTTGTTGTACAATAATATCCATGTTTTGATCAGTTAAATTTTGTTGATTTAAATTTATGTCTGAATACATTGCATATTTTTTAATAAGATCTTCAAGGTTTTTATTTTGATACGATATTGTTGTTGTTATTGTCGATAATGTTGAAGGTATCATAGATGAACATGAAATAAAAGGAAATGGTGGTTGAATTTCTTTAATTTGAATAATATAAAGATCATTGCCAGAATCAAGATTACCAATAACTTGAAATTATCTTGCAGCAATAAGTAGAATTTCATTTTCTGTTGGAAACATTGAATGATTATGAATATCTTTTCCAGTATCACATTCAATTGTAAATAATGTTCGTTTGCCAGTTTTACCGAAAAATTCTTCATTTTCTAAAACACTTATATGAGTTGTACATGATGAAAATGTCCACCAAACAAATGTTTTATCTATTGGATAATCATTTCTTAAATCCATTTTTATTCCACGATAAATAGTTTTTCCTATAAAAGATGGAAGTTTTGAAAGAGAATGAATAAATAATCGTAAATAAAGAAACCATGGTTTTAATAATTGACGATTTTCTGAACGAAGAGTTTTATTTAGAATAAAATAAAATGAATTATCTCGTGATAACCATTCCATTGAATAAAGCATTATTGAAGCTGATTCATCAGAAGTAAGATCATCTTTAGGATTAGTACAATTTTGTTTAACTATATAAACCATTTGATCAATATCAGGTACAATTGAAATTAGAGATTCAACAGCTTTTTCTAATGAGACAAGTTCGAGATTTTCAAATCCTTTTATTGGTGGTAATATCCGTTTTGGTTCTTTGACCATATCCGATAATCGAGTATTATGTTGTTTTAGTTGATCAAAATGATTTGAAGCCATTTTATTCAATCTAAACACGGAATTCATTCTTATACATCAGTTCTAATAACACAAATCGAAAGAAAATAATTTCGATCAACTAAATAATTAAATTTGAAAAATTTGTCTTTTATATTTTAAAATTCTTCGTGTTCTTTCAAACATTTTTTTTCTGCATTTGGCATGGCATAACATATACGTCTCTTTTTGATTTTATAAAGTTGCACCACTTTGTTGTCATGCAATTGTAATGAAAACTCAAAAATAATGTACTGAAATTAGATGTCGCTTATTTTAAAAAACCTATTTATTCTGGAAATTATCTAAAGAATTTAAAAGATTAATCAAATATTAATCATGAAGTAGTATCGATTGTTATGTTTTACTTTAAAGATAACAGTTAGATGACTGATGCATGCATATGTTTTCGAATATAATAGTGCATTAAAATTCATATTAAGAAACACTTCTTTCATAAGTAGCTAATGTTGTTAACATTGTTCTTATAAGCATTATCATTCAGAAATCATTGGAAAATCGAGATACATTAGAAATTACTGTGATTTCAACTTCAGTATAATTTTACAATAGATTATTTTAGATTCATTAAATATCATTTATTTGATTAGAAAACGATCTTAAAAATTTCGAAACTAAAAACTTTTCAGAATGAGCTAAACCTACCACTGGCACCGCCAATACTTGATTAATCTTTCAAAAATTGCAGAATCATTAATGAGTCACCAGCAAGTGACCAAGGAACTCTAAGTGAGTCCTCACAACAAATGAAATTCCCAGGGACTTAGTAGTCGTTTTCCATGATGTTTCCAGCTAGTCTTTACTTTAAGGAGTTGACGATATATTTTTAAAGTTTCTAGTAACTTTCTAAAAAATTTATATGTGAACGCAACCCCACACTCACTATTTCCTGAAAAAAGTGAAACCTTTTTTTCTGTATGAAGAAACTTTCAATGGGCAAGAATGGGAAACAAACTCGAACTACTCTATAAAAGAATATAGAAATTAATTTTAGCACTCATTAGATTTACACAAACTTATTACCTTATTAATAGAAACTATTGAAGCTGACTTTCAGATCCGCAGCAAACCCTTTGTAAACTTTCTCGCAAATCTCTGATATGATTCTACAATAAGTTATCTTAGACAGCCCTCGAAAGTATTTCTTTTCTGTTCAAGTCTTTTTTTCATAGTTCTCATTGCTATTTATAAATTACAGGAAAAAAAACACGTTTAGTTAATCATTAGGATAACGAGTACCATTAATCGTCCATGATATTGGTGTAAATGTTTTAATTAATGCTTGCAAACGTGTGAGATGCTGTTCTTCAAGCATCTGATCGACTCTATCTAAGTTATTTAGAATTGCATAACTTGCCACTACACCACCTGCTTGACCATTAGAAAATTCAACTGGATGTAAACGTGTCGCTGCATTAACAAGAAATGTCTGTGCCATTGTTTTACCAATAACAATTAAATTATCAATATCTCGATTTGTCATTGCACGTAAAGGAATATAATATGGAAGAATAGAATAATTTTGTCGAATATATGAAGGATACTGACATAATTTCATTCTATGAATATCAACATCATATGCACCAAGACATATACGATCATGATATATATATCCGTGTAAATCAGATGCACTTCCATTTATTGTTGAAATATTCATAAGAAAATTATTTATTCCAATTGAACGACGTGATTCACGTAAATAAGGCATTTTAGCTAAACCATGACAAGTACCTGTCCATGATGATGAATTAATGAAAATAGTTCGATTAGCCCATTCGATTGGTGCATTTGCACGAAACCAATAATGCCAACCATATGATTGTTCTTCACCGCCTTTTAATGCTTCTAAACTAACTCCACCTCTCCATATACCAATATCACGATGACGTTTTGCTTCAGTTGGTGATAAGAAAAAAAATTTTCTTCCATAATCATTTCCTCTCACACGATTTTGAATAATTGTATCATTAATAGCAATAATATTTATATCAGTTGATGATGTATTAACACGTCGATAAGTCCATGCACGTTCCCATGGACGACCTAATAATGAATATTGACCACCACCACTTGGTTCAGGTAACGGATTAGATGGTTCATCTGTAGGTTTTTCTCGAAGTTGTTCAAGAAAATCTATAGTAAACATTTGACCACATGACCAATTTCCATTACCAGATATATCACCATCAAATTCTTCCATAATACCTTGAAGAAAACTTGCATTAGATAAAACTAATACTTCACCCCATGAACTTCCTTCAATAACATATGACATGTTAATAAATGATAATTTAGTTTTATTAAACCATGAACTATTATCATATAAATACCAATCAGTTAATTCTTCGGATAATAATCGACATCGATTTTGTTTTTCATTTGAAGTTCTTTGAATAGCATCTATTTTTATAATACGACGATCACTTTTATCTCTATCAATATGTTTAATAACAGTGTTATAAAAGATTCGAAGATTTTTTATTAAAGGTAACACAACTTGAGCATGAAATTGATTAGGTATAGAACAAATAGGTGATACAGAACAAAGACCAGTATTTCCAAGTATATTTAGCATTTTCGTAAATAAAGGATTTCGATTTTCTAATTGAAAATTAATAGCTCCAACATCAAGTGTAAATCCACTACTATCTGTTAATTTATAACCAGCAAAATCAGGTGCACTTAATAATTCACTTGTCATTTGTCCGCCAGCCCAATCTGTTGGTTCAATTAAACATACGTGTTTATCAAGTAATTTTGAAGCAGAAAGAACTGCACCTAATGCTGCAGTTGATCCACCAACAATTACTAATTGACAATCATCTATGACGCGAACAGATGCATCGATTGAAAAGATAAGCAATGAAAGAAGAACAAAAATAAACATATTTATCAATAGTTTAGAAAAATCTATGAAGAAAAAGTTACATTTATTTTTATTCTAAGAAAGTAATCTTTGAAAACTTCTCATATTATACTTGTATTATTTTTCATATCTTATATGATAATTGTCTTTGTTTCGAAAGAATGCGAAGAAACGTTGCTGTTCTTTTTCTAGTCATCGTTGTTTTTATTTATCAAGTGTGATAATGGAGTAACAAGAATGGGCAGGCGGAAAGTTTTGAGATAAAGTTTTTGTTTTTTTCGACTGTCTTGAAAATATTTGTAATTAGTCAAAGGCTACGGTTGAGAAAGTCAATTTTGAACTCTTTTCGAACATTGATGTTGAAAAAGTCGCTTCACGTGGAAACGTTTTGAATTAACCAATCGCTTTTGAATTCGATCTCTATACATAAAATTCACTCAAGTGAGATATTAAAAACTACAAAATGACATATCTTCTCAGTAATTCTGTCTCAAATTATAAGTATTTTACTAGAATTTTAGCTTCCAGAGTGTCATACATCATGACAGAGACTAAAATTCTAGTAATATACCTATATTCTGAACAGAAGGACTAAGGGAACTGATTCTTTAGGGGACTTGTGTATTTTACTGAACTCTTTCCCAATACACAGCATTCGAATTTAAAAGCGACTGTTCAGTTGAAAACGTTCGCTCGTCAGCTTTCGTTCAAGACTAATGGTGTAATATATAAAAGGCTAAAAAAACTATTTTCGACGGAACATATGGCTCAAAGTTTCCGGTGCTAATGATTGTCCATTTTAGCCTGCGTGAAAGTATAACAGACAAGCTAAAATCATAGGTAATGATCAAAATTTCGTGGTCTCTTTGTAAATAGGATTAGAAATATCGTGTCTATTTTTATCTAAGAACAGTAAGAGCATTTTTTTTATTGCGTTAAAGATCAGATCGTATAATGAATCAATAGGTTGTAGCTAATTCTAAAAAGAATTTTTTCGAAAGTATTCAACTTTATCAGAGCTAGTCATTTTGGCGAGCAGACACTTTGTGAAATGTTATATTACACTAAGCTAGAGTTTTTATTTAAGTGAAGCTGTAAGCACTCTTTTCTTTCCAAACAATTCTTTTGGACCCTTCAAATTTTACTTCATTAATCTCGAACAGAAACTGAGACAACTTTTCAAAGTCAACATTTGGAAAGAGTTTTAATTTCTATCTCTAGCCAGTAGCTTTTGACTCATCGCAAACATTCTCAAGAGAATCAAAAATAAACAAACATTTTGTCTCAACACTTTTGATTGACTCGTCAACTAACCTTATTAGTTTTGTCTTTTGTTCGAAAAAAGAGAAAGAAAACATTAAGTTAGATACTTTATATTTGTTAACGAATTCAAAAAAATCAAATACAAACGCAATATATATCTCAATAATTTATTGATTTACTAAACCCAATGTAGCTGTAAAACAACTGTATCTTAAGTAGTAACTGAGTGATTGTATATGACAAATTTATCCAATGATATTTGATATTTTATCATTATTTTGTTTTAGCTCTAGCAATAGTTAAATGTAATAAATTGACGTAACAATTTTTGAATTATATACTTATATATAATTATAACACAATATATATTTATTTGTGATTGTTAGTTGTGACAAAAATCACTTTCTCTTTTTATTGTGTTTTCATCAGAATTCGATTGTAGACCGGATAAAGATATCAAGAGCATGTCAGCCCAAATAGTCTTTAATCATTCTTCTGCTGTTCTCTACCAAATTTTAGCAATACTAGAAACAAAAGACTCATGTGCTTAATTTGTATAATACAAAAAGTATGATTGCCATTCGTCCCTTAAAACATTTGAATAATTGTTTTTATCGATTATCCCTAGCTCACAAGTTTTATATTGACAAATATGAACGTTGATCTTCTCTTCACTAACATTCCACACTCACACATTCACTATTCCACATTAGAGCCCGTCGAGTCCAAAAGTTTGGGATCCAGGACCAGTCGAACCGTACTTTGATACTCTCAATAAGTCTTTTTAATAGAATTGAATGGCTGTCTAGAAGATACGAGATAATTTTTAAGCAACGAACACAACAACTTTCTTCGTGGAAGAAAACGCAAAAGTGTTTGAATTTGAAAGAAAATTCAATATCCATAAATGTAACACTCTAAGACTCAATGAATTTCGTGGACTAGTAAAAACAATTCTAGTTCAATACAACTACAGCAGTGAAATTAAGAATATTATTTTCAATAGCATCGCTGCAGTGGAAAGTTTTTTTTCATAGTGCATTATAGCGTACAAGTTTTTTCGTTCCATCGTCATGACTAGACATGTGCGGGACCAAAAAATAGAATTTTGTCGGGACTGGAATCAGGACCAAAAAATAGAATTTTACTGGGACCGGGACCAGGATCGAAAAACAATTTAGTCCCGGTCATGTTTGTCGTTGATAAGAAACATCGGCGGAAATACCAGTGAGAACTGCTCCAGATCTAAAACCGGCAGATTCTGCAACAACTTCTCTGACTATGGACAAATAACAGAAAAAGTAAGGTTACTTAGACTGGATGTAGAACAAAAACCAAATTTAACACATTCAACGCGATTCGGTTTTATTAAAGAGTAGCTCTAGAGATTCATTTTCGTCTGCATTCATCTTGCGATAAATGCACTGCTTGGTCCTTTCATTCTATGCTGATCTGTCGTTTTCTCTTTTCCGTTTGTAATATCACATGAAACGAAGTAACCATTCTGTAATTTGGCGAAACTCCTGTGAGGTCATTTCAACATGACATGCCATTCTAGAAGTTGAATCAGCAACCCAATTCAAGCGCGAATTCACTAATCGCAAACTCGAAGAAAAGGAAGGATTTAAGGGCAATGTCCGCGGACGCTGTACTGGCTGCTTTGCGAAAGGAAGGGCACAACAGTCAAGAGAAGCGAGCTATGCGGTAGCAAAAAAAGTAAAAACGTTCTGTTGTGAGTAACAATTTTTTTTGTCTTGATTTTTTTAACAAGACTCATCATGCTATGGAATAACGGACTCAAAAAGAGTTCTGAAGGCAGAACAGATAAAACATTATGTTCAACCTCCTGTCTAAGAACAAAGAAAAATAAAGTACTTTTCTATACAGTTTCTCGTTAAAATGTAGCGTGGCTCACTGTTAGGCCACATCGTAGCGAACGTGTTAACTGAGCCCAGGACTAAAAAACAGAATTTCATCGGAATCAGCAGCAAAAGGAAAATTTCCACCGGGACCGGGCCCGGGACCAAATGAAAATTTTCACCTGAACCCAAACCGGGACCAAAAAAAATTTACCGAGACTGGGACGGGACCGGGACCAAAAAAAGTTGGTCCCGCGCATGTCTAGTCATGACTCAGTAGAAACAAACTTTCAGCTGTGACGAACATCTCTATTTGATAGGTTATTTTTAGGGTAGTAATTTTTTTGATCACCAGAAAAAGATACTTTTTGTCACCAAACATTTTTAGATACAAATGATCACCAAAAAAAATATTTTTGATCACCAAATTTTTTAGAATGCATCTCATATTTTTATTTCTCAACAAAGTAAAATATAATGTACAACATAAACAATATTCATTGAAATATTAACAAAGTAAACAATATTCTTATTTTTGTTAATATATATTTTAATTTGCTTGATGACACTGGCATGACTGCATGATCAATTGAGAGCGACGAACGAATTTGAGATTCTGTTAAATCAGCACGAACATATTGTGAAACAGATTGTCACAGTAGAGATGGTAAACGAAATGTTTGGTTACGGTCGCTATGATTGTGAGTATTTTTGAACATTACCGTAATTGAGGTAGGATCATCATCATATACAACTGCTATGAGTTCATAACTACACGATGAATATTTACGATATTAACTACATTTAAATGAGTATTTTGCATGATCTTTAAGATTATTTGTTCGATATTGACACACATTATGTGATTTAGCTACAGCTTTAACATCATCAAGTGAATTAACTACACATAGCAGAATCCAATTTGATTTTGACATTTTTAAAAGCGAAAAACTTTAAAGTATTTATATATACGAAAAGCAGCAACAGGAAAGGTATGAGCAAATGCGAGTGATATGATGACAAAAATAGATAATGAAATGTAAGTACATGACGAACAATCAAGATTTGATGGAGAATCACACCTCTCTAAAACATTTGGTGATCAAAAATATCTTTTCTTAGTGATCAGTTGTATCTAAAAATGTTTGGTGATCAAAAGTATTTTTTTTGGTGATCAAAAATATAATTACTCTTATTTTTATATCCATGAACGCGTTTCACACTTGATGAATTTCAAAAGGAGAAAATTTCTAGGCACATTATTTTTTCATTCCGGAAAATCGCATCATTAATATTTTTTGAAATGTAATTTAAAAAAAAATAACATATCCATTAACTATTGAAAAACGGTACTGTTTGTGAAAATTTTCTCATTGTTTTAACCAAAATATATACATCTACATTACTATTCAGTTCATTAACGTTTTTTTTTTGTTTTTATTTATTGGAAAATTTTCTTCTGGGTAAATTGCAAGAATTCCTTATAATTTTATATCTAATACTTTAGTATATTGCAAGAAAATCGCACCAATGAGCAGAGTTTTCAACATTGTTTTTATGATTTTTCTACTAAGTACTAATAAGCAACTGTTGTCTTAAACAACGCAGAAAACTAATTAAAGTTAGTAATGAAATTTCAAATTACTTTTCTTTTTTTCTAAAATTAAATAAAAACAGAGTTGACTATATAAAAGCAACAGTTTTTTCATCACTTTCTATCGACTTTTTTTGTTGAAAAAGTAAGACTCTTAGAGTAAATAGAGTATTGTTTTTAGTCTTTTAATCATTATCATGCGTTGGACAATTGCACTCATATTCATAACCTATTTGATGACAGTTCATGCACAAACATGGGCTGGAAGCTTCACAACTGATTCAAGTTGCGATACCAGTCAATGT